GTGAAATTTGAGCTGCAGTGAAGTGAGATTTCTTTTGAATATAAAAGTTTAAAATATAACTAAACCAAACCATTAATTTTTTACTGAGAGGTAAGTTAATTTAGTATTAAAATAATATTACAGATATGCAAATATGTAATTGGTATGCATTGTATCAGTGAAATAGTGATAAGTGCCTTGAGGCATCTTTGGGGCAGTAAGCAAACTTTTGTTCCAAGTAGCTATTTCACAATTATTTGCAATCTGCAGTGGTTTAAAGAGGTTTTTCTTAATAAAAATTCTTAAATTAGAAAATATGGCAAATCGAAAGCGCTTTAAGTTATCCGACTTGACAGATGATCAGTTAATGGAATTATTTGAGTCAGTCCCGTCAGATGAGGAGGTCTCAAATATTTCTAGTGACGACGAGGACAATGATTTAAATGTGGTGGAAGCTCTAAACGCTGCATTAGAGGAAGCCGATTCTGTCTCTTTTATAGTTGGCAATAAGGAAAATGTTTTAAATAGTGCCCAGGATCCTAAGTCTACTGGAAAGGCTACAAAACGTCCTCGATCGCCATTGCCAACTATAGAAGATTCGGGATGCGAATATTTACCAAATTCTGGAGGATTTAATGCTGCTGGTAAACAAATATAACTGAGATTTTGTATATAAGTGATTAATAATTTATATATGGGTAGGTCTTGAATCGATTACAAAGGAACCCACTAAGATTCTCTGGAGGGAGCAATCGATGCAGTTGCATGTAAACTGTATAGCCTTTCGAGGAGATTCCTCGCTTACAGAAGAAATTAAGGGGCTGGAAACTCCATTTGAGATATTTTGCTACTTTTTTGATGGAGAAATTATGAAAATGATTGTCGAGGACACAATGCGCACAGCTTTAACTGACAACATTTCAAATAATTTCAAAATTACCATCGATGACATTCATCATTACATCGGCATTCTAATTTACATGTCGATTTACCGCTATCCGAATTTGAGGAGTTATTGGGGACAAAATGCGTTCGGACCCATTCAAAATTGCATGACCCGACACAGATTTGAGACAATTAAAAAGTATTTCTCTCTGTGTGATGAGAGCCAGCGCATTAAAAAGGGTCAACCAGGCTACGATCCATTGTTTCGTACGCGAAAACTAGTTGATTACTTGAATCAACGGTTCGACTCGGTGCCCAAACAAGCCCGCCTTTGTGTTGATGAACAAATGTGCAGCACAAAAATGAAGCACCCTTGCGCCAATACATGCCAAATAAGCCACACAAGTGGGGTATCAAACTATTTGTACTATGCGATTCGTTTGGCTACGCATACCGCTTTGAAGTATACAGCGGTGCAGGAGATAATGTGATCTTGCCTGGTCACCCAGATCTTGGTACTTCGGCTAACATTGTTGTCCGTCTGACACAAAGCGTTCAAAGTTTTAAAAATCATATTATTTACTTTGACAATTTTTATACCTCACTGCCTCTGATGGTGTATCTACGTGCGAAAGGTATTTACAGTCTTGGCACGATTCGAGCAAATCGTATCCCCAATTGTAAGTTACCGAACGAAGGGACCATCAACAAATTGCCAAGAGGTTCTATGATTGAGTACGTAGGTTGCTCATATGGAATTGAACTAACAAATGTTCTGTGGAAAGACAGCAAAGCCGTTCGTTTCTTGTCATCATATGTGGGTGTTAAACCATTTGCAAGGAAGGATCCGCGTCAAGGAACATCAAAAATTCCACGGTTCGACAGAAAATCTAAAAAATACGTTGAAATTGATTGCCCCCAAATTGTTAAGGAGTATAATGCTCACATGGGCGGCGTAGACCTTATGGATGGTTTAATGGGCCGTTACCATATTAGAGCCAAAACTCGGGATGCCGCAACTCGAATTGTTTATCATTTAATTGATATGGCAGTAACGAACTCTTATATATTATACAGACGTATACAAATGGCGAACGAGGCGAACAAGGAAAAAATGTTGGAGCTCCCAGATTTTAAAAAAGCGGTGGCCGAAGGTATGGTAACATACAAATGCAAAAATTTACCAGGTCGTCCATCTACATATAGATCGCCGTGCTCTCAGCTAGTGCGAGCTATAAACTCACCATCCTCTCGGATAGAGCAAACAGCACAGTCTCCACTGTCTCACCGATCACCACAGCTTGGCCTTAAACAAGGAAAAAAATCAAAGCACCCTATATCAAGCTTGCGTTTTGATCAGGTAAACCATTTTCCTCATTGGTTGGAGCGAGAGAGTGGAAAACGTCGTTGCAAATTATGCAAAACATCACAAACACAATGCATTTGCCCTAAATGCAACTTACATTTATGTTGCACATCTAATAAAAACTGTTTCTTAGAGTATCATACCAAAAAATAAAATTTGACATGGCAAAACAAAATTGATTCTTTTTACTCTCAAGTGCCTAAGGGTGCCTTGAGGCACCTATTCAGTTTTTCTCACCTTACAGGTAAAAAAAAAGGTTCTACGTTCTTTTTAATAGCATTTTTGAGTTAAGAAGGCACAAATCAATTTAGAAAAAATTATTTCATTTAATATCTTGCGTTATTGTGGAAAGTGGCATTAGAGGGTTAAAAAAAGGCTGCCAGCTTAATTTCTGGAGCGTTGCCACATACGCCCACAGATGTTAAAAGAAGAGTTGTTAACTATAAAAATGTCCTGCCATTTTAATTTTAAAACTTATTATTTAATTATTTTTTATTTTGTCTTTCTCAAACAAGGTCCTCAGTTCTGATAACGGTTGAAGTCTTGTGCATGAGCTTAAAGTACAATTAAATTTTTAAGGAAATATATATATTTTATTCGATGTAACAGAGCTCTAAATTACTAAAATTTTGGAATGAACGAACACCAACGCAAAATACAGCTATGTATCATGTGGCAGAGGAATCAAAAAAACAAAGATTTATGCGATTGTGACTTGCAGCTCGCTGCAACAACCTCGGAGTCTAACAGCGCTGCGGTCAGTGTGTTCTGAAAATAACTATGCATTCTAAAAACTTTTACAGGTCTTGTAGGATATTTTTGGCACTTAAATATTCAGTCCGGGTGACCGGAAGTCACAATCGGCCACCTTGGAGAAAGCAGCGGTTAGGGCGTGTTCTATTCCAAAATACATATGTGTCTATGCATAAGTATACATTTGTGACGCTCCACGCTATTTTCGGATTACTATAATTAGTACCTGTAGATCAAAGCGGACCTGCGGAAGCAGAATAACCTTGTTTAGATTTAATATATACATTTGTTTATAAATAAATAATTAATATGTATAAGAGTGTGGTAAATTTAAAATCTATTTTATGATTTTTTATTATTAGAGATTAAAGAAATGTTAAGCCTATTTTAAAAAAAACTTGTATAATCATATTGGAATTCATCTCTATTAATCGAATATTACACAGTTATAAGAATTAATCTGAACTAAAATATCAAAAACGTTTATCATGAAATGGCCTTATTTTTAACAATTGTCTAATTCAAGCATTTTACGTGAAACGTAGAACAATATACATATGTATGTATGTAAACGACTTTCGAAAAACAAGAAAATAACTGGTTTCCATAGAGAATCAAAATATACAAACTCGAAAGTTGTAGGGGTTTTTCATTTATCTTCATTTACAGCTGTAACACCACATAAAATAACTACCATGTGATATAAAAAAAGCCTTATCAGAAATATGTATTTTCATTTTATAAAATGAACTCAAATTGGTCTTATATGGAATGACCGATACTAGAAAAATAAGTAAAACACTTATTATTTAATTCTAAAAATTATTATTAATAATAATTTCTGTTGATTAGTTCAACAGATTCGACTTCGTCTCTTCATTTTTTTTCTATTATTGCTTTAAAAAGCTTTTGTAGCTGTAGACTTTGCAAACTCGCTCGGAGATCGTGATCAAGTTGGCTGCTGCAATTTCTTGCGCTCTCTGAGCCATGTCATGATTCACTGAGCCATTCCTTTCCCTGACTCGTTCATAAGCTTGTTTAGCAGTGACTTTTCTATATTGAACATTTTATATAGACTTACGTATATAGAAACTGCTTCAGTTTGGTGCTATAACGCGTTGCGCGTACTTCATTAAACTGTAATCAATTCAGCTCGTGAACTTTTATTCATACTTACATACATACATGCATAAAAATATATTTCCTTATGTTGTTATCATCCTGCTTAAATTATAAATACAAATCTTTTTAAAATCTTTCGTGCCGCAAAAGAATACAGTGAAATTAAAGTTTGTGAAAATTTAATTGGAAAACATGGAGCGCAAAAGAGTTAGCAATATTTTTATATTGTTGCTATCTATAATAATATTTTCAGAATATTCTGCAGTACGTGTCTCAAACTCGCTGAACAATCGTCATATAAAGGGTAAGAAAACAAATTATAAAGATAGAATCATTTATATTTTCCTACAATATTTAATTGTTAACAATGAAATTCACTCTACCGGATGATAGCTTATATTTGGCAATGTTTTTTAAATGTAAAATTCAAAATTTTATGCTTCAACGAATGTAAAAATTAAAATTATATACATAGATACATATAAACATATATATGTATGTACATGACAACAAAAAATTACTAAGGCAAGCGACGTTCACTTTGGCAACACAACTAGTTGGAGAATGTTTCAATTAGACCATACACATATGTATGTATGTATGTATGTACATATTTCAAAACCCACAGTCATGAGAGCCGGCCATTTCTTGCCAAGCCTTGATCACCCTGTACATACATATATACATGTACATGTATATAAGATTTTAATACCTTTTAGGTTAAATCATTGTACTACATATTGTATGTATTTATGTACATATGTATGTGCATATTTTTTTTTTAAACGTTTTATTTGATAACAATAATAATAAAAATAATAAGATACTGGTATGGTATACCATTATGTTCATTTAACGAACTGGTAATTGTACAACAATTTTTGAATAACCTTTTATCCCCTAATATCGAGATGCACATATGTATGTATAATTATGTTAAATATGAGCATATATATATATATATATATATATATATATATATATATATATATATTTGTACATATGTATATATAATGTATGCATTAATTAATTATCCTTCAAAATTCAATACATGTTTACATGCATACATGCCCTAATCACAAAAATTAGGTATAGCTAGTACATAGTATGTCAAGAAACTATTTATAGAAAATTTAAAACCTTTAAAAAAAATATACAGTGTACAGTGGCTCCAAGCTTATTTCGGGCAAGAATAAATGTAGCTATATGTAGGTATTATATAGAATGTGGTTTTGTTTGCACAAGCTTGACACTGTCAAAAACTGGTGTAAGCATATTAAATAATTTTCTAGAATTTTTAAAATGTCTTGAAAGAAATTGACATTTGAGGTCACCTAGTTAACCTCTTTCTTTTTGGGAAAACTGTTGTCGATCTTTGGGAAAGGTTTTCCGTTCCCGACATTTTTTTCTTTTAAGTAGCTCGAAAAAAAAAGAAACTTCGAATATAATTAGTGGAGGTGGCCGTAAACTTAAGGATGACGAAATACTGGACCACCTTTTCATGAGAAAGTTGTACCAAAGGTACCTCTAATATTGACGCGAACCCCTATTTTGGACCTTAAGGAAGAGTGATATACCCTTGTTTTAAATAGTAAGAAGAAACGCTACAGTCGAGAGGCGTGACTGTAAGATACCCGTTACTGTTTTACACAATTTTAAAATATTAATTTTGCTAGTGGAAATTGCCAAAGCGCCACCTTAAAAGCATGTTGAATAACTGATGGTGACGTCATTGACCATGTAAGGCTTTATAGCTTACATTTCTTCATAAATAGCGAAATAATATTTCGATTTAAAAAATTTTTGGTAACTCGACAAAAAATTGTATACAATGTCACACGAAGACATTCATTTTAATATTATGGACGCCAAAGTTTTCCGCGGTCTGTGGGCGTTTTAGTAGGTGTGGCCGAATGAAAACTGGCGTCGAGCTGCATTGGCATCTCTAATACGTGTTTCTAAGTCTAACTTTCTAGATATCATAGTTCCTGAAAATTTGTAGGTCTCCGGGTTTTGTGGGCGTTAAAGTGGGCGCGGCTAAATGGGAAAAAACAATTCACAATGGGGGTATCATAAAGAAACTCATGCCTACATGCCACATTTCTATAACTTATAGTAACCAAGATATCAACTTTTCTACAAACAGAGAAACCCGTCTTCCGAGCTTAATTGGCGTGAGGGTGGGTGTGGCCGGATATCGCACCAATTGCGTAGGGACCTCAAGAATCTTCATGCCGAATCTCATCTTTTTATATCTTATAGCTCTTGAGATCTCAGCTTTCATACAGACAGACGAACATGGCTTAATCGACTTCGATATTGATCCTTCCGCCTGTTACATACTTCTTAACGAATCCAATGTACCCTATTACTCTATGAGTAACGGGTATAAAAAGTTATCCTGTAGGTGCCAAAAAAGTCTTTGCCTTAAGTCCCATCGGATCACCGTCTATTTTGTGATTTTTTTAGTTCAAGTATATAACAGCACTGGGAAATCAATATATTATTTTGATTTTTCAATTTAAAAAGATTTATTTAATTGTTGTAAGAGAGCTTTAAAGCCATATGCTGTTTTAAAATTTTTTTCCATTTTCTAAATGATTAAAATTAGTTTACAACCATTTGGTACGCCCACAAAGCTCGAATGACGGTTTTCGCTTTTTGTAGAAAGGCTGATATCGTGGTAACTAAAAGGGATCGAAATTTGGGATTTGGCTGTATTTTTTTATGATGCCACCAATGAGAATTATTTTTTTTTATAGCCACGCCCACTATAACGCCAAAAATATAAAAATATTTGGAACTATAAGAGCTAGAAAGCCAGGCTTAGGAACACGTATTTAAGCTTAAGTCAGTTTTCTTGTATAACACTTTTTTGTTAATATCTATCGATCTTCCAAAGATTTACAAATCGGAACATTATTTCACTTTATATAATATAAAGAAACCTACGGTAAAAGGCCTCACATAGACAGTGACACAATCAGTTAGTAAACATGCTTTTTTGACAAAAGGTAGAGCTTTGTCTATTCCATCCAGCAAAATGAATATTTGACAATTGTATAATACAGTAACAGTTTCCTCTTGTTGTTTTTTTAACAGCACTGCAAAATCAATATAATATTTCGATTCTTCAATTTACAAAAGGTTTTTTTCTTTATTGCGAGAGGTCCTGGGAGACAAATGCTGTTTTTATATGGTTTCCATTTTTATAATGCTTAAATTTGGATTACAACTTGAAATAAAAAAAAAAAAAAAATCATCCTAAAGTAAGTTATGGACCAAAATGTTAAACCTAGTCGATTTATATGCTCAAAATAGTATTAGTTGCACCACAAAATATTGTTTTTTTTTGTAGTATTTTATGGTCTATTGAGTTGCATTTTTTTATTTTGGAAAGTCAAAGTGTGGCTGGTGTACATACATGAGCTCTATCCTAAGCTCAAATATTTCGAGAAGATACGATTTCGTGAAAAAATTTAATCAAAAATGTTTTACTTGAGGAATGGTCAAATATTTCCAAAAACGTGCCGACATTTAGTAGAATAATAAAATACTAACAGAGCGAAAAAACTATAAATGTTTAGTGTCAAATATGAATAATTTGTGTTATAATTTAAGGAAGTCCTTTGGTTCGCTTAGACCTTCTGTTTTGAGAAATTGTTTGTAGAATTTCTTAATTTTTCATATTTCCTATAAAAACGAAAAAATGAATATCTATTTATGAATAATTTGTGTTATAATTTGAATGTTAATGTAACCATTTAGGTTCGCTATAGACCCGCTTGACTGATTTTGAAGAAATTGTTTGTACGGGTTCAAGGGGGCACCAAACGTGTTTAGAAATCATAAACGAGGAAAATTCGTAAAGTTGGCAACTGTAGCTCCTAACAGCATGAGGGAGCATGTGGCAACTCTCTAAACTCACTAAATAAATTTATCGAATTAAGCTTTTTTTAAACAGTTAAATTTAAAATTTTGTTTATTTGTTTCACGGTTTTTTTATGTTATTCACGTAAGAATTTATGTAAATTGTGAAATTGATGTCATTTTTAAAATCCTAAAATTTTTGTGACTTTCTTAAGGGGCTATATTCATGTTAAAGTTACAGTTTGATTTGTATCTGTGTAGTTTTTTATTAGTACATGTCATTATTTTGCCACAGGTTGCAGGTTTTTACAATGCCTAAAAAGGGTTTTTTTAAGGATTATTTTGGTTTATGATTTTTTTGATTTATTATGTTGTATGGCATGCGAGGTTTCATTTCAAATGTCAAACAGAATGCAAATTAGTATTAAACGCACTTTAAAGGTGACAGGTGCAAGTGCAAGTGACCAGTTGAAATTCACATTTAATTTAAAGTTTTCCCTAAAATTCATTTTTTGTTGTTCTTTTTATTGTGCGGTAAAAAATAAACAACTATTTAATTTAATATTTTGAGTATTTTGTTGTATTATGAAATTTAAGTTTGTTTTTTTTTTCAAACAGTTTTTATTCACTTCAACTTATTATATAGATTTCTTTTGAAATTTAATTTAAGTTTTTAGTTTTCTTTAATTTGTTTTATATTTTTTAAACTTACGATCGCATTTTCTTTGAAGAAAAGGAGCGATATGCAATTGCGCGATATACATTCCAAGCGCAAGTGAAAAGGGAATTTCGGGCTGAGATCCGTTCGTCTAAATCACCTGAACGACGGGAAATACGGTTAGAAAGTTATTGAGTACGCGATACTCACGCCCTTTCGTCTGCGACACATGAACAACGGGAAAGTCGTCGACAAAATGTTCGATCAAGAGTGGTTCGATCTGCATTTTATTATGACAGTAACATTGACTACAGTCTTCATACAAGTGTCGCCATTGGATAAAGTGTATAAAATTTGCACGTATTGCAGCACACTCAAATTAAAGAACGAAACCCCAGGATGTGTTGCTCCAGTGAAAAAGTCAAACTAAATTTGGAGAATCCATGCTTCTCACGGGCATCTCTATGTGGTCTGGTCACGAGTCGAAAAATCTTCTAATTTATTCGTTTACGCACCTGACGGAAAAACAAGAAACATTGTATATCCCAAAGCACTTTAATAAATGTTAAATAGAAACCTAAACGAAAATTAATTTATATATGTACATATTATATTTTGCCTTCGCATGGTACATAAACCATAGAAGACTACAATCAATGCTCACTTTACATTTTTTACTTTTACATGTACATGTATTTAGTCATGTAGTACCTCGCAACGAATCCTTTATTAACTAACTGTATGGACATAATTTTATAACAATGTTTAGATAGTTTATCTTTAATACGTAGGGTATGTACATGTGTATGTATGTTCACTAATTTTCGAACACTATAATGATTAATTTTTATGTATACATAAATAAATACATAATACATATGTAAATAAGTACATACATATACATATGTATGTACGTATATGGTTCGGATATTTATTTAAACATTTATATTGTATAATAAACTACAAACACACATTCTTATTTAGTAATGAATTTGTATCATAGAGGTGCATTGAATCAGTAATTCGAGCTGGACCGATGCAGACCGGTTTTGATAATTCTTTAAAATAAATCTGAAAGTTGAGATGTTTAAAATAACCCAAGCATTTCCTGAACTCCATTTTATACAGGATAGACATAGAGTAAACTGGTATATTGTTTTGTATATAACTATATACAGTTAGTCAAAATTATTCGTCGCAGGGTACTACATGACTAAAAGCATGTTTTTTCTTAATGAAAGAGTAGAAATTGGTCTACTTACCGACCATTACTCAAGTAATACATAAAGTATGTCATGAAACTGTCTACACAAAGGAATATTACTACATTTTTTATTTTGCGTTCAAAAACCAACATTTCATATTAAATGTAAAACTTTAAAAATATGCAGCTATGATAGAGAATCTGTTTTTTTTTTAATAATAATAAGAACAAAACATTTCAATAGGAGCGAATACAAAACAAGAAGAAACGCTATAGTCGAGTGCCGCGACTATAAGATTACTGTTGTATAACATTTTAAAATATTTATTTCTGGACCACCTTTTGTCAGAAAATAGCATGTTGAGTAAGTGATGGTGACGTCACAGCTTATGTGAGACCTTATTTTTTTCACGCGACTTCCGTTGCTTGACGTGTAATCCACTTCCCGCCCAACCTACCGACGGGCGCAGCCATCTGACGTACGTCTCGGAACTGAGTGGATTAATAAAGATACGAGAAAAAGTTAGTTTTTTGCTAAATAGATTAGTACCAAAAGTTTTAAATTGTTAGGAGAAAAATTAAAGGTAATGTTTTAAAGATTATTGTAGTTCGAACATAGTACCCGAAAGGGTTCATGTAGGGCAAAGTTCGAATTACAATGCTTTAAAAATAGAGGAATATAATTACTAGTAATCTTAAGGGGTACGTGGCGACCTAAAATGTCCTGGCTATTAATTTCATCCTTAAGAAGTCTATAGATAAAGACGACACCAAGCATCTTGTTTGTATCCCAGTTGAGGCCGCGGAAAGCAAATATTGATTCGTTCTTTTGGATGGACTCAATAGGACACTAGTGAACCTCAAACTGTGTTAGATACATGATCCGTATTCCAGAATCGAACGAAAGAATTAAAAGTTTTGGTAACATAGAGGTCATTGAACTCCTTTGACCACCTTTTAATGAAACCAAGCACTCCTCTAGCTTTGTTAACCATAAAGGAATTATGGTCGGAAAACTTAAGTTTTTCATCGAGTAAGATGCCAAGATCTTAGACTGCCTTAATTATAAATAAGAAGTGGTAAGATGAGGTTTTAGGCGACAAAAAGTCGCCCGGCATTAAGAGTCGTTAAGATTTAATAAGTTTGCAGTGCACCAGCTCTAAAAATTGTTTGCAATTTCACCTGGAATGAGGCATCGGTATATTTCAGACAGTCTTTGACGTCATCTGCATACATAAGTTCTAGGGAGTCGTTAAAAACCAAAGAAAGGTAATTGATAAGCAGTAGTAGCAGTAGCAGTAGTAGCGTAGAATAAGACAGACATTAAATTTTTAAAAATAACTCGTTGCATTCTACTAGTGAAGTCAGTTGGGAATTCGATAAGATCAAGTTTTCCCAAAAGAAGGTTGTGACTTACGAAGTTACTGAAGTCAGTGTAAATGACATCTGTCTAAAGTTTGTTTTGGAAGCCAGTGACCTCTAAAGATGTTAGTCTCAGACGATTGGTTGTGGTAGACCTTTGTTTCATAAAACCATGCTGGCAAGAAGTTATGAAAGATCAACACTAGTGCTGAAAATGAGGCACTTTATTTCGAAAAGTTTCGGTATTACTGATAGTTTAGATATACCTCTGCATTTGATTGTTCTCCCTTCTTGTAAAGGGGAATAATAAGTGACTCTTTCCAGATATTGGTAACGTGGACGTTTCCAAGGAAAGTATAAGTAATTTTAAAAAAAGTTTGACCAGGATAGACGCCCAATACCTAAGCATACAGACCGCTACCCCATCTGGATCTGCCGAAAAGATTGGCTTCACAATCTGAAAATCCTTTATGATTCCACATTCCGACAAGATTGGTCGGGAGATGAGATTGGATCGCGGGATATCATAAGCGTAAGTTTGTGTGGTTGTTATCAAGGATGATTTGAAAAAGGTGATTTAAAAAAAGGAAGAAAAAAAGATTTTCAGAACGATAAGGAAAGGAAAGGTTTTAGATTTACGCTTAGTTTTAACAAAACTATAGAACTGTTTCGGATCCAGAGCAAAAATTGCACGGAGTGTTAGCACGGTAAAGTTGAACCGAACCACGATATAATGCGCATAACTGTCATTGCTACCAGTTCTTAAGTATTTTTTATAAAGTTTTAACTTAATATTTTATAGGTTAGTTTGGTGCCTTATATACCATAAGGGCTTATCCGCCATAGTTACTGATTTAGTGATCCGATTTGAAAAATCGTTGGTAAATCGATAGAATTTGTTATATCAGGTCAAACGAAGTCATGTATTATAATATTATGGATGCCACAGTTTTTCGCGGCTTGTGGGCGTTATAGTGGGCGTGACAGGATGCTAAAATAAACTTGCTCTGCTTTACGAAAACATCAGCGTAATTGTTCTTAGGCTTAGTACATAGTCTCGTATCGATAACAAGATCTAATGTGGGATGATAAGGATCATCAGGGTGTGTGAGAGGTGGAGCTCTGGATATGGATACGGCGCAACCAACCTAAAGAATTCCCTATATGATTAATTTGAGTCAGTGGCATGTCGAACATGCCAGCGGAAAAGTCATGATGTGACGTATGGATAAAAGCTTTAGTGCTATGATTTATGGACCAGGCCTACTGGGGTAAGTTGAAGTCACTCAACACCACCAGGTGATCCAAATCCGATAACATTGACAAGACAGGCTGAATGGCTGTTAGATGCAGCTCATACATCAAGGAATCAGACTTGGACGGAATGTATGAATATGTAATATACAAATTTAACCTAGAGAATGTTATTTTTACTGAAATGAAGTCTAAATCTACAGTTTGAAGATTAACCATATCGGAACAAGTGTCTCTGCGGACACAGAGATTAGGACTCCACCACCAGTTCCGAGAGATCGATCGAGCCTATATGTGGTACATCACATACATACTAGGGAAAGCTTCAAAATTAAGAATTTCTGAAGTCAGCCGAGAAGCTTACCGATAACAAATAAGAAAGCTTATTGCGTAAGCCTCTTGTGTTCTGGTAAGAAAGAGTAATGGATGAGAGGTTAGTTTTTGGGTTGACAGAGGCGTTTACTTGTAGAAGCTTTACTTCCAATGGGCTGCTTTTTTCTTCTTTTTATTCTGACCCTGATGTTCTTTAAGGAATATATAATTTCGAACAGATATCATCAAAAGCCATCGGAGGAAAGCGGATCTTGAAAGATGACACGTTCCTGGCGTAGGAATATTTGTATTTATTAATGTTGTCCACCTTAATATCGGCGTTGAATCTTGCTTGAAAGAAAGCAAAGATGTACCATTACGTATCAGGTGCAAGCCGCGAAATAAAAATTTGTTTCTCTGGTGGAATCCCAATAAGTGGCTTTGGCGGGGCGGGTGATATACCTGGGCTACAACTGGGTGCCGGCCATCCGGACCCTGAGTTCATCTGCTCAGTCAAAGGTTTGAACTTGTAGAACATTTATCACGAGAGGGGCCAATGCGACTACCACGGCCTTTTTATCGGGATCCGAAATGTGAACTATCACCAGCGTCGTCGCGATTGGAGTGAAGCATCTATCGGAGGGAGAAGGGAATTATTGGCATCACAGGCGGTGACCGCGAGCGTCAAATGGTTCATTTTTTTACGCTTAGGAGATTCATTAAAGAATTTTAGATTATTAGAGGAAGGGGAGATAAACAGTAAGAGCGAGAGAGTAAGAGAGAGAATGTTAGCAAGAGCTGAGACGGTATAAGAGAGTAGCATTTGCAGAAAAAAAGTATAAGCGACGGAGAGAGCGTATTTTCTGGAGCTGGGAGATGTAGAAAAGAGATCCGCAACTGTTGTGTAAGAGAGATAAGCGGGAAGACACCTCAAACGATGACATATATTTTTATATTATTGACGCCACAGTTTTCCGCATTTTGTTGGCGTTAGAGAATGATGGTGAAAAAATAATGCTCATTGGGGGCATCATTAGAAACTATTTGCTTAATCCCAACTTTCAATCACTAATAGTTGCCGAGATATCAGCGTTCTCAGAGAATGCGGCTTCATTTTTTCGATGTTGGTGGGCGTAAGAGTAGACGTGGATAATGGTACCACCGCGAGATGCCTGCGCATCTGCCAACGTTGTAACTCTTATAGTTCCTGAGATATCAACCATTTTGGTTTTTTGTCTTTTGTGGGCTTTATATTGGGCGTGGAATAATGAAAATACAACTTCGAGCTGTGGTGGCATCCCAAGAATGTGTATGCTTGATCAGCGTTTGAAAAGCTATTGCTATTGTTATTGTAGAGTCGTAGCAGAAAAACGTAAACTGATCTGCTCTGCTCCGAGCAACGAAAAGTTGAGAGCTATAGTTATAGCAATAGGAGAAAATTAGGAACGAGATGAGAGCAGAGGAAAATAATTTTTTCTTTTGCTATGGCTTTTGGGTATGTTCGTCTTTAAATAAAGTCACACCGTCGATCGCATTATCTAAGAAACACAAGAATCAGAATAGCCCAAACAAAAATAACCGAGAGGCGTGGCAAAAGAAAAATATATTTTGCTTTGCTCTCATCATTTAAAACTACATGCTTAGTACCAACTATCACTTATTGTTACCGAGATATCAGCAGGTCGCGGGAGGATGCTGAAATAAACTGAAATAAATTTGCACAAGTTTGCACTGACTTTTACTTTCTTGAGAAAAGCGGAACTTCACCGTTAGAAATGCTTCTACATACGGTGATATTTTCGCAACTCTTTCATTTATTTGTAAAAAATTTGAAATCGCATCTTAAAGTTAATTTTTAAGATGTTTATAATGTCTTAAATGAAAGTGACCTTTGAGGTCACCTAGTTAACCTCTTTTACAATCTTTTTGGATAAAATTTTTGCAAGTCTTGTGAAAGGTTTTCCGTGCCCAAGAAATTTATTTATGTTTTAAGTCTCGCGGAAAATAAGGGAATCTTAAACTTAAGGTTGGCGAACGAATGGACCACCTTTTCATGAGAAAGCTGTACCAAAGGTTCCTGGAAAACTGGCGCGAACCCCTATGTCGGACCTTAAGGAAGAGTGCTGTTTCCTTGTTTTAAATAAAACAAGAGGAAACGCTATAGTCGAGTGCCGCGACTATAAGATACCCGTTACTGTTTTACACAATTTTAAAATATTAATTTTGTTAGTGGAAATTCACAAGGCGCCACCTATTGTCAGAGGAAGTATGTTGAGTATGCTTATAGTGACGACTCCATGTGGAGCCTTATAACTTTAATTTTCCGATTTGAAAAATCTTTTGTAAATCGATAGATATTAACAGAAATAAGTTACACAAGGTCAAACGAAGGCATTCATAATAATATTATAGACTCCACAGTTTTCCGCGGTTTGTGGGCATTAGAGTGGTCGTGGCCGGATGCAACTTCGTGGCAAGTTGCAGAGGCATCTCCTAAATACGTGTTCCTAAGCAAAATGGTGTAGCTTTTATAGTTTTCGAGATTTTTGCATTTTTGGTTTTGTGGGTTGCGGGTTTTGTGGGCGTTAGAGTGGGCGTGGCGTGATCGGAAAAAAACAATTCGCATTGGGAGCGTCATAGAAACATACATGCTTGATCCGAACTTTCTATCTCTTATAGTTACCGAGATATCAGCTTTTCTAGAAAATCCGAAAACCGTCTTTTGAGCCTTGTGGGCGTATGGGTGGGTGTGGCCGGATAGTAGTAGCACTATAAAATGCGCTGTCATCTAAAGATTATACTTTCTGAATTTCATCTTTCTATCTAAAATAGTTACTGAGATTTCAGCAATTTTAGTTTTTTGCGATTTGTGGGCGTTAGAGTGGGCGTGGCAGGATGCTGTAATAAACTTGCGCTGTCCCGGGACCTCAAGAATCTTCATGCTTAATCTCAGCTTTGTATCTGCTATAGTTCCTGAGATCTCAGCGTTCATACGGACGGACGGACGGACGGACGGACGGACGGACGGACGGACGGACGGACGGACGGACGGACGGACGGACGGACGGACGGACGGACGGACGGACAGACGGACGGACGGACGGACAGACGGACATGGCTCAATCGACTTCGCTATTGATCCTGATCAAGAATATATATACTTTATAGGGTCGCAAAAGCTTCCTTCTATCTGTTACATACTTTTCAACGAATCTAGTATACCCTTTTACTCTTCGAGTAACGGGTATAAAAAGGGCCCTAGAGTATCCTATGGTAGAAGTATTCAAAAAAGTGCTGTTTTCGCCTAAAGGATTTTTCTGGGAATATGTTCAGGAATCCAAAAACTCTTCGTATGATATCCTATTCTATGACGAATCCAAAATAATGATTTTTTTAACAATGGTCCATTCAGAGTTTGCTTCAAAGATATAACAGCACTGGAAAATCAACATAATATTTCGATTTTTAAACACAACAACAACATGTACAACACAAAACCATCGAAAATTTGTGGGACCATCTTAAGCTCAAATTCCGGAAAGATATGATTTCGTGAAAAAATAGTCTCTAATATGTATTTCTTATAATAGGAAAAAAATCACTACTGGTTAGCTTTATCTGATTAGCGTTTATCTCTTTTATTCTCACCACCGCTTTTTTCGACAGTCAGAGAACCAAGCGTTTTTTCAATTCTTGTTCATCCTCTCTTGCTTGACCGTGAGCACCATGGAGATATGTCCAAAACGATCTCTTAAAGCTAACTTACATTATAGAAAGAGTTAACAGTAGATATGAATAAGATTTACAGTTAAGTTGTTTCTTAATTTATCTTACAGTGGGTATTGTACAATATGCTTAAAGTTGTACAGTGGTCCCTAATAGTACTTGTCCTACCACAACTCGGCCATCGTAACAGGATGATCTCCTGATCACAGACAAATTACAAAATCATCAAAAGGGCTATAAATTTTTTATAATTAAAACAAAAATGTTAATACTTACAAATTTAGTGTTTTTTCTACAGTATATTACTTCTTTTTGTTGCCTATCCAAAGCTTTATAGTTTTCAATCGAAATACTTAACCATTACATAACCTCCTTTGCTAAAATTCGTTGGATTTCTGGCTGTCTTATCGTATTGTAGTTTATTATATGCTTGTGCTTTGTCTTGTTTTTTTTTGCTTGGATTATAAACTTATCTCTCATATCTCAGGAACTATAAGAGATAAAATCATGATATTAAGCCTAACGATTCTTGAGGTCCATACTCAGCGCAAGTTTATTTCTGCATCCTGCCACGCCCACTCTTACGCCCTCAAATCACGAAAAACTAAAATTCAGTATTTATAATCTTGGGATGAGAGCGCATCTTATGGTGGAACCATACCTTCGTTTGACCTTAAGTAACTTATTTCTGTCAATCTCTATCGATTTACCAAAAAACTTTCAAATCGGAACATTATTTCGCTATTTATGAAGAAATTTAAGTTATAAGGCATCACATGGGCAGTGACGTCAATATCATTTATTCAACATGCTTTCTCCGAAAATTGGTGGCGGTTTGGGAGTTTTCACTAGCAAAATAAATATTTTACAATTGTGTAAAACAGTAACAGGTATCTTATTATCGCGGCAATCGACTATAGCGTTTCCTTTTGTTTTTTTTATTCTCTCTTCAAGACTGACGACAAGTATTTAAATCTGAGCCTAATACATACATTAAAAATTACGTTTTTTTTTGGAGAACGGCCCTAGCTGTTGTTGCTGCGTGGGGAGATCTCTTCTCCGGAGTCGTGATTGGCTAGTGTTCCATGTTAGAGACCGCGCAAGCTTATTTGTTTTTACATTTTCGATTTCGTCTTTGACAGATCCCACATTTAAATCTCTGTGAATGTTTTCATTCCTTATGTATGTATGTATAAATGTATGTGTGTATGCACCAGTTATAGTTCTCAGTATCTTTGATTGAGTTCGCTGTATTACTTCTAGCTCGGAGCCATATTTCCAAATTGGCTTGAGAACTGCATTGTATAGAAGTACCTTGTTCTCCAATTTTAGCGGAGAATGGGCATTTTTTAACCAATCTAGGCTTCTTGCTTTTAATTAAAGTTGTGTTTTCTTAGCTTCGATGGCAAGTTCGATGGCCAAGTAAGCCGTCTGTCAAGGTGGACTCCAAGATATGTGATTTCAGTTATTTGTGGTATATTAGTATTGTTCACAGATAGTGGGGGCAAGTTTGTCTGTTAAGGGTAAAGGTGACGTATTTGCTTTTTGCTCATTAACCTTTATGCGCCAATGTGCTAGCCATTTCTCTAAAAGCCCGATATGAGCTGATAACTGTTGCGTTGCTCTTATGGGACACTTTGAACGACAGTATCATCAGCAAATGTTGACGGTGTTGCGAGACTGGTTATCGGAAGGTCTGCTATGTAAATTATATATAGTGTTGGTCCAAGCACGATACCTTGAGGTACTCCTGCTTAAATTGGATGGTATTCGGATAGGAAGTCTTTACATCGTACTGCGAAACTTTTATGCACAAGAAATGACTCCAGTATTTCATGGGTGTTCTGTGGAAGCAAGGTTTTAATTTTATAAATTAAGCTGTCCAGCCAGACGCGGTCATTCAGAACATTCAGAAAGTCTGAGAAACAATACTCTCGACTTTCAAATGTATCTCGGAGGTTATTAAATTCACTTGTTCGATGGTTCCGTGTTTCTCGCGAAAACCAAATTGGTGGCTTGGACTGGTAATATGGGACTGTGGGTGTTGCATTGTACGACTAAGCAGCATTTCCAATATTTTTGACAGGCACGGCAGGAGACTGATTGGCCTATATGAAGAAGGCTGAGACTTTTCCTTTCCAGCTTTGTGAATCATAGTTGTTGGGCCAAAGCAGCCTGAGCAAAGACGGACGAGCAGCGGCGGATTTATCAGCAGTTTCTTATTAGTTTTGATTATCTCAGTTTTGCATGCGCTTTACTGTTACTTTGCAGCGAATGCGCTATTGAGAGCTTTGTAGAACTGCTGTAGCTCGATGCTTTTGGTGACCCCGACATGATCACAGCGCTTTTTGAATATTGTAATCAGTTAAAAAGTTCCAATGAAACTTGTTGTTTTTGTTGTAAGTAACCGATCACATACATAAATTACATAATGGAGTCTGGAGCTGATGCCGCTGGATCTGCTGCTGTAAGCAGGGGGAGGATGATGCGGAGACGTCAAGAAGTGACATGTAAAGAAATGGAGAAACTGCATCACAAGGTCAAGGCTGCGATGCGGACCGAGGTCTTGACCATTATGACCTTCGAGACAATGGAGAAGCGTCTGCGTGACTGATTTGCCACGCTTCAGGAAGAGTTGGAGGAGCTGAATTATAGTGAAATCGGAAGTGATTTGTGTTGGAAATTCTTTCAGCTCGCCACGGACGTGCACGTCGACATCCAGGTGGAAGTTGATGGTACCAGTGGTGCTGGTATTTCACTCACTCTATACACGCCTGCTCCCTCATTGCCCCCGTTGCCGATGCCAACATTCAGCGGTGGCTATGCCGAGTGGCCGGATTTCTGCGCCCTGTTTACGACGGCGATTTAAATCCATCCTCACTTGACCAAGATGGAGAAGCTCAGGTGAGTTCCGAGACGGCGGACGAAATTGGAGGATGCCTCCGCATCCACATCATCTTTCAAAAGCTGGATCCTGTCACAAAGGCGAAGTGGGAACACACTCTCGCAGGAAAAAATTAGCCTTCCAACTTGGGGATCTATGGCTCGGTTTTTGCAACAAAGATGCCGTACACTTGAGACTGCGGATTTGGCCTTAGCTTCGCATCTGCCAGCGGATCAAGTGAGCCGACGTTGGCCGTTGAATAATCGTTCGTGCTCATTAATGCTGTGCGGTATCCTGTCCGGCCAATAAGCCTGGCGTTGCGACCTCTCGGGCTGCGCCAGCTAACCCGTTTGTGACCCAGTATAGCCACGTTGAAGCAGTGTTCTTTCCAACCGCCAACATTCTCGTTCGTTGCCGATCATGAGAGTTTTTTCCCTGCCGAGCGCTACGTTATTCTGGCTATCTACGTTTACGGTATGCATTGAGGCAGCTGTGGCGTCTCACATCGCATAGTGTCAACCTGGTCAGAACATTGATGTCTCCAACTGGAAGGCTCCTGCTAATGTGGTTCTGGCTTGTTTTTTGATCTGCTTTCAGTTGGGCAAATCCAAATAGGAGACGGTCTGACACTTATGCAGAATATGCGCTTCGGATGGGTAGTTTCTGGTTTCAGCGGTCTCCTGCTTCCGGAGCTCCACCTGCTACTCTCGCGTGACTGAGGAGGTTCAGCTGAAGAAGCTGAACGATCGTCTGGCCACCTATATTGACCGTGTGCGTAACTTGGGGACAGAGAATTCCCGCCTCAACATAGAGGTGCAGACCACCAGGGAAACGGTCACCCGCGAGACGACCAATCTCAAGAACATGTCCGAGGCTGAGCTGCTGGAGACGCGTCGTCTTCTGGATAATATGACCAGGGGTCTTGCCCGTGACGAGATCGATATCAAGCGTCTGTGGGAGGAAAACCGTCTGAAAAAGGAAACCAAGGAGTGCAGCACTTCTGAGGAAAATGCCCGCATGTCCGAGTCGCGTTTCAATGAGCTGAGCAAATTCAACCTGGCCAATGCCGATCGGAAGAAAATTACTGATGAACTGATCGTTATGACGAAGGAGTTGGATCATCAAGAGAAGGAACTAGATAACACTTGTGACCGTCACGGCCAAGAGGTGGCTGAGAACGAGAAGGAGCTTATTCGACTGCGCGAAGCGATGACCCATTAACTGAGTACCAGGGCATCGAGGTCTCATTGGATTTGGAAATCGCTACCTACGACAAGGACTACTATGTGTCAGCTAAAGCCAAAGGCAATGTGGAAAACAAGGAAATCCCTCGGGATCGATTTCCTTGTTCTCCACATTGCAAGGAAATAAGGAAAACGATGAGGTGACTATTGGAGGCTAACAGCTGCAGCGGTTTTGATCAACGACGGCGGTCTATCGACCACCTACAAGTTCCATCGTTCTGCAAAAACTGAACCTTGTTGCCGTACTAAGGATAGTTGTTGGAACGACAAGGTGTGAGGTGTCTAGGCTGTGTCTGATACCCTTCAAGGACTTTCAACGGGAGGAGCACGTTGGGCCAAGCAGCCAAAGCAAAGACAAATAAGCAGCGGCGGACTTATCAGCAGTTTCTAATATGTTTTGATTATCTCAGTTTCGCATGCGCTTTACTGCTACTTTCCAGCGCATGCGCTATTGGGAGCTTTGTGGAACTGCTGTAGCTCGAAGCTATTATTGTTAAACTGTACTTCTTGGCATTCGGCGTGCCTATCTCTCTATCTGTCTATCTGTCTATCTGTCTATTTTTCTGTCTGTCTATCTGTCTATCTGTCTATCTGTCTATCTGTCTATCTGTCTATCTGTCTATCTGTCTATCTGTCTATCTGTCTATCTGTCTATCTGTCTATCTGTCTATCTGTCTACCTGTCTATCTGTCTATCTGTCTATCTGTCTATCTGTCTATCTGTCTATCTGTCTATCTGTCTATCTGTCTATCTGTCTATCTGTCTATCTGTCTATCTGTCTATCTGTCTATCTGTCTATCTGTCTATCTGTCTATCTGTCTATCTGTCTATCTGTCTATCTGTCTATCTGTCTATCTGTCTATCTGTCTATCTGTCTATCTGTCTATCTGTCTATCTGTCTATCTGTCTATCTGTCTCTCTGTCTATCTGTCTATCTGTCTATCTGTCTATCTGTCTATCTGTCTATATGTCTATCTGTCTATCTGTCTATCTGTCTATCTGTCTATCTGTCTATCTGTCTATCTGTCTATCTGTCTATCTGTCTATCTGTCTATCTGTCTATCTGTCTATCTGTCTATATGTCTATCTGTCTATCTGTCTATCTGTCTATCTGTCTATCTGTCTATGTGTCTATCTGTCTATCTGTTTATCTGTCTATCTGTCTATCTGTCTATCTGTCTATCTGTCTATCTGTCTATCTGTCTATCTGTCTATATGTCTATCTGTCTATCTGTCTATCTGTCTATCTGTCTATCTGTCTATCTGTCTATCTGTCTATCTGTCTATCTGTCTATCTGACTATCTGTCTATGTGTCTAACGGTCGATCTGTCTAACTACTTGTCTATATGTCTATTTTTCTATTTGCTTATCTATGTATCAGTCCATCTGTCTATCTGTCTATCTGTCTATCTGTCTATCTGTCTATCTGTCTATCTGTCTATCTGTCTATCTTTCTATCTGTCTATCTGTCTATCTGTCTATCTGTCTATCTGTCTATCTGTCTATCTGTCTATCTGTCTATCTGTCTATCTGTCTATCTGTCTATCTGTCTATCTGTCTATCTGTCTATCTGTCTATCTGTCATCTGTCATCTGTCTAACTGTCTACCTGTGTATCTGTATATCTGTATATCTGCCTATCTGTCTATCTGTCTATCTATCTATCTGACTATCTGTCTATATGTCTATGTGTCTATCTGTCTATCTGTATATCTGTCTATCTGTCTATCTGTCTATCTGTCTATCTGTCTATCTGTCTATCTGTCTTTCTATCGATCCGTCTATATGTTTATTCATCTATCAGTCTATCTGTCTATCTGTCTATCTGACTATCTGTCTATGTGTCTAACGGTCGATCTGTCTAACTATTTGTCTATATGTCTATTTTTCTATTTGCTTATCTATGTATCAGTCCATCTGTATATCTGTCTATCTGTCTATCTGTCTATTTGTCTATCTGTCTATCTGTCTATCTGTCTATCTGTCTATCTGTCTATCTGTCTATCTGTCTATCTGTCTATCTGTCTATCTGTCTATCTATCTGTCTATCTGTCTATCTGTCTATCTGTCTATCTGTCTATCTGTCTATCTGTCTATCTGTCTATCTGTCTATCTGTCTATCTGTCTATCTATCTGTCTATCTATCTATCTGTCTATCTGTCTATCTGTCTATCTGTCTATCTGTCTATCTGTCTATCTGTCTATCTGTCTATCTGTCTATCTGTCTATCTGTCTATCTGTCTATCTGTTTATCTGTCTATCTGTCTATCTGTCTATCTGTCTATCTGTCTATCTGTCTATCTGTCTATCTTGTCTATCTGTCTATCTGTCTATCTGTCTATCTGTCTATCTGTCTATCTGTCTATCTGTCTATCTGTCTATATCTGTCTATCTGTCTATCTGTCTATCTGTCTATCTGTCTATCTGTCTTTCTGTCTATCTGTCTATCTGTCTATCTGTCTATCTGTCTATCTGTCTATCTGTCTAACTGTCTATCTGTGTATCTGTATATCTGTATATCTGTCTATCTGTCTATCTGTCTATCTGTCTATCTGACTATCTGTCTATATGTCTATGTGTCTATCTGTCTATCTGTCTATCTGTCTATCTGTCTATCTGTCTATCTGTCTATCTGTCTATCTGTCTATCTGTCTATCTGTCTATCTGTCTATCTGTCTATCTGTCTATCTGTCTATCTGTCTATCTGTCTATCTGTCTATCTGTCTATCTGTCTATCTGTCTATCTGTCTATCTGTCTATCTGTCTATCTGTCTATCTGTCTATCTGTCTATCTGTCTATATCTGTCTATCTGTCTATCTGTCTATCTGTCTATCTGTCTATCTGTCTATCTGTCTATCTGTCTATCTGTCTATCTGTCTATCTGTCTATCTGTCTATCTGTCTATCTGTCTATCTGTCTATCTGTCTATCTGTCTATCTGTCTATCTGTCTATCTGCCTATCTGTCTATCTGTCTATCTGTCTATCTGTCTATCTGTCTATCTGTCTATCTGTCTATCTGTCTATCTGTCTATCTGTCTATCTGTCTATCTGTCTATCTGTCTATCTGTCTATCTGTCTATCTTGTCTATCTGTCTATCTGTCTATCTGTCTATCTGTCTATCTGTCTATCTGTCTATCTGTCTATCTGTCTATCTGTCTATCATCTGTCTATCTGTCTATCTGTCTATCTGTCTATCTGTCTATCTGTCTATCTGTCTATCTGTCTTTCTGTCTATCTGTCTATCTGTCTATCTGTCTATCTGTCTATCTGTCTATCTGTCTATCTGTCTATCTGTCTATCTGTCTATCTGTCTATCTGTCTATCTGTCTATCTGTCTATCTGTCTATCTGTCTATCTGTCTATCTGTCTATCTGTCTATCTGTCTATCTGTCTATTCTGTCTATCTGTCTATCTGTCTATCTGTCTATCTGTCTATCTGTCTATCTGTCTATCTGTCTATCTGTCTATCTGTCTATCTGTCTATCTGTCTATCTGTCTATCTGTCTATCTGTCTATCTGTCTATCTGTCTATCTGTCTATCTGTCTATCTGTCTATCTGTCTATCTGTCTATCTGTCTATCTGTCTATCTGTCTATCTGTCTATCTGTCTATCTGTCTATCTGTCTATCTGTCTATCTGTCTATCTGTCTATCTGTCTATCTGTCTATCTGTCTATCTGTCTATCTGTCTTTCTATCGATCCGTCTATCTGTTTATCTGTCTATCTGTCTATCTGTCTATCTGTCTATCTGACTATCTGTCTATCTGTCTAACGGTCGATCTGTCTAACTACTTGTCTATATGTCTATTTTTCTATTTGTCTATCATGTATCAGTCCATCTGTCTATCTGTCTATCTGTCTATCTGTCTATCTGTCTATCTGTCTATCTGTCTATCTGTCTATCTGTCTATCTGTCTATCTGTCTATCTGTCTATCTGTCTATCTGTCTATCTGTCTATCTGTCTATCTGTCTATCTGTCTATCTGTCTATCTGTCTATCTGTCTATCTGTCTATCTGTCTATCTGTCTACTGTCTATCTGTGTATCTGTCTATCTGTCTATCTGTCTATCTGTCTATCTGTCTATCTGTCTATCTGTCTATCTGTCTATCTGTCTTTCTGTCTCTCTGTCTATCTGTCTATCTGTCTATCTGTCTATCTGTCTATCTGTCTATCTGTCTATCTGTCTATCTGTCTATCTGTCTATCTGTCTATCTGTCTATCTGTCTATCTGTCTATCTGTCTATCTGTCTATCTGTCATCTGTCATCTGTCTAACTGTCTACCTGTGTATCTGTATATCTGTATATCTGCCTATCTGTCTATCTATCTATCTGACTATCTGTCTATATGTCTATGTGTCTATCTGTCTATCTGTCTATCTGTATATCTGTCTATCTGTCTATCTGTCTATCTGTCTATCTGTCTATCTGTCTATCTGTCTATCTGTCTATCTGTCTATCTGTCTATCTGTCTATCTGTCTATCTGTCTTTCTATCGATCCGTCTATATGTTTATTCATCTATCTGTCTATCTGTCTATCTGTCTATCTGACTATCTGTCTATGTGTCTAACGGTCGATCTGTCTAACTATTTGTCTATATGTCTATTTTTCTATTTGCTTATCTATGTATCAGTCCATCTGTATATCTGTCTATCTGTCTATCTGTCTATTTGTCTATCTGTCTATCTGTCTATCTGTCTATCTGTCTATCTGTCTATCTGTCTATCTGTCTATCTGTCTATCTGTCTATCTGTCTATCTGTCTATCTGTCTATCTGTCTATCTGTCTATCTGTCTATCTGTCTATCTGTCTATCTGTCTATCTGTCTATCTGTCTATCTGTCTATCTGTCTATCTGTCTATCTGTCTATCTGCCTATCTGTCTATCTGTCTATCTGTCTATCTGTCTATCTGTCTATCTGTCTATCTGTCTATCTGTCTATCTGTCTATCTGTCTATCTGTCTATCTGTCT